CCCCACTCAACCAGACAACTGAGCATAAGAAAAGGAGAGGAAGAAGAACTACTCGACCAAGCGATCATTCAAAGCATAAAGGCAAAGGCGCAATCTTTGTAGCATCCTGTCACTCGATCCCCAAGGGTCGAGTATCCACTAAACCGTCTCAAGTCTTTTATCTTCTTGTGTCCTAGGGTTTTTGGGATTTTACTATAAATAGGTCACTTTGGGGTTTGTCCAAAGGACCAAGCTTTTATCCTTTAGTTTATTTTTGTGTTTTAGAATCTTTGAACCTTAATTACTCTTAATCAATTTCATTTTTGCATTTAGTTCTTTGAGTAAAGTTGTTTATCTAGCTTAGATCTACATTTTGATATGTTTAGAGTAATTTCTGGGTTTGTGTTCTTGATCATGTTGCTAGAGTAGTGATTAGGGTTCTTGAGGATGGATTACATTAAGGTAATTTCAGGGTTTTTCAGGTGGTTAAGATTAGGTTAGATCCCTTTTGGATTAGTTGGGCTTAATGCTTATTTCTTTCTGATCAATTGGAATTCGGCTAAGGCATTCTTCATCCAAAAGATGTTCACATGGAATGTCTGATCTACTAATTCCAGAGATTGGTTCCTCTATCCCAGACATGGCTCTTTGGAGGGCTTTTTGGCTTTGATTTTTTGGTGCTTAGTGCCTGCTGAGTTAGATTCCTTTGACAAGACCAAGTCTGGACCTAGCTCTGTTTGAGGTCATTGATGCGAGACTACTTTGATCTGTATTAAAACATTTTGTCTAGGGTATTTGCCTTTCACTTGTTAACCACCTGATAGACCCTAGAATTCCTTTTATCAATGAATCCATCTTTAGGGCTTCTATTCTTCTTAGATTTATTTGCTTATTTACATTCACCTATTATTGCATTTCTTTCACCTATTATTTGCCTTCACCCTGTTCAGTTACCTATTATTGCATTTTTGTCCTTGAATCTGTCGTTTGCTTGGTTCTACTCGAACCTGTGATCGAGTAGGGCACTTAGTTCTCATTTTTATTGTTTGAAACTTGATTTAGGATTGTTACTAGAAACCCACCATCTTTATACATCTGGCTTGACTTAGTTGCTTTTGTACACATCTTGACTGCTTAGCAAACCTAGTGAGATGGATTGACACCCCATGTTGCTGCATCAACATGTTAGTGTTTAAGGAGAAATTGAATACAACCTAGTTAGGCGTTAAAACCTAACTATCAAGAGTAAAGCTAGGACCAATAAACAAAAGAGGATTTGTTGCAAGTAAATAAGTAAGTCAAGGAAGAAAGTAAATCAAGCAAATGAAAGGAATAAGAGAACCATTGGGTATTCAAGAGATCACAAGGGATTCAATGATTAAGTCAAAGGATAACACAGTTAGGTTTGTTTATTTCCAAATTCTCTCACATACAAAACTCATTCATTTTTGACTAACCCTATGGTGTATAGGCTTAGAGTCGGCTAATCTCCCCACATTCTGTTACCCAACTATCGAAGGCAACGTTACATAGATCAAAGCATTAAGTTCAAGTTCGATTCTAGCCCATAAGGCCCTATAAATCAACTACCACAGGTTGTAGCACAATATTCATTCGTGAGCTAGATTAAAGAGTATTACACAAGATTCTGCCAAGCATAAAACTCCTAAGATCATGTTCTAGGTGGGTGTACCGAGCATAAATTCATTAAGGACAAACTCAACTAGAAAAAAGACAGTATAAATGATAAAAAAAAACATAGTTAACGCCACTTCAATATTAGATCATCAACCCCCCTTTGACTAGCCCTTTAAACCCAACTAGAGATCTACTCTTGCATGGTAAAGGGACTCATCAAAGTTTTTTTTGATAAGGCTGATAATAGGTTTTTAGTCAATTAATCCTAAAGCACTATCATGTCGTTGTAGTATTTTAGGTTGTCAATCCAAATGGGTGTGACGCTAACAATCAAGATGTGATCAGAAGTCACTAAGTAAAGCCAAGCAATAACAGGTTTTGGTGTGTTCTAGCAGTCCTAAGTGAACATGCAGAAAGCAGAAAATCAAGCAGAAACAATAAAACACTCGACCAACACAGCTCTGTGCAGAGCACTGGGTGAGGTCAAGTGACAGGTCGAGTAGCAAACAGAAAACGAAACACAGGAATACTCGACTGCATAGTCTGTTGCCAGACAACTGGGTGGTCGAGTAACAAAAAAAAGAATTGCAGAAACTAAGGAGTAGATGACAAGATGCAGTAAACAACAGTATAGTAAACAAAGAATTCAATCAGATAAAGAATTCCCGAGGATGGGGTAATTGAGTAGCTTCGTTTCCTCAGTTTACAGGTGATTGACATGCTCAATAAATTAACCCTAGCCAACAAGTTCATTAACCAAATCTAAGTGCCACCTAGTCCCAGACTCAATCACCATTGACAAGAGCTAACCTAACAGGCATTACGAATCAACAAGTTAAAGCCAAAACGCTCCCTGCAACCAATACCTTGGTACAAGGCCTCTGGAATTAGTGGTTCAGACATTTCATCGAACACCTTTTGGGCGCGTAAAATGTCTGGGTTCAAATTCCAGTTGATCAGAAAGCAATAGGCATTAAGAACAACTAATCAAGAAGGGATCTATCAATCAATACTCAACCACCTAGCATACTGAGAATTCTACACTACTCTAACCCATCCTCAGAAACCTATTCACTACTCAGACATCATTGTAGAGAACATAAACGTTGAACAAGATGAAAACATGATAACAACAGTGTAATAGCAAAACGATAACAGGATGAACAACAGTAAACGAAATCAAGAACAAATACTGAATGCTGAATAGATAAAGAGAAATCCGGATTACAAAGGTCTAGAACATAATGTCTGCGGAATAAAACTAGAAAAAACTTGTTTGCAAAAATGTGAAGTACATGCTACTTATAGCCAAATATTCCGAAACCCTAATACTTAAAATGACGCAGTATTGGGACGGACTAAGAACTGTACTCGACCCAGGTGGTCGAGTGGGAGGTCGAGTGAATAGCTGGAGTCTTCTTTTCTTCCTTGTGCTTGAGTGCGGAATGAAGAAGACTCTGAAGCTCGCAATCGAGTATGTAGTCAAGTGGTGGTGATGGTGATACTCGACTTCAAGGTAGAGTGGTGAGATCGAGTAGTGGTCTGGTAATGGAGGTGAAGACACTCGACCTCGGGGTCGAGTGATGTGATTGAGTGATGGTCAGGTGATAGAGATGAAGACACTCGACCTCGGGGTCGAGTGGTGAGGTGAAGTGGTGATGTCCACTACTCGATCAGGGGGTCGAGTGGTCTGCTGAGGTTGTGAAGCGTCTACTCGACCTTTGGGTCGAGTGGTTTTGTATGATCAGGTCCGCTTCTTCCAATTAGCTCGTCAACAGCTCCAAATCATCTGAAATCAACACAAATATGCAACATGCATGCAAACCTATCCTAAACATGTAAAGTGATGACAAATGATGAGAAATGGTATAAAACAGTGATGATATGATGCTAAAGTGATAACAAATGGATGCTCAAAACATGCAAAATACACACTTATCAACTCTCCCGAACTTAGTCTTTGCTTGCCCTCAAGCAAACAATCAAGAACAAGCTGGAGGTGAGGTTTGAAAGCGGGGACTCAGAGCCAAAGCACCAGATAAACAAGATGAAATCAATGTCCAAGTTGGAAGTTCTAAGCTGCAATATGATCGAATTCTACTCAAAAACGTTAGCCATGCCTCATTATCAATATATCCGACTCATATGCTCGACCTATACATGTTTTCAAATCTACCAATCCCTTTAACATTCATTAGTTCTGGAACGGGAATCAAGCAATGCATCATCAATCAACTCATTTGGCTAAAGTAAAGGTCAAGGGACAAAGATGGTCCCTTACAAAATAGGCTTCAGTAACAGGAGATTTCTCAAAAAATGATTAAGCTTTAGTAGAATGCTAAAGGTAAGTCACAAGCTATGCATACAGAGATAAGATCCCATCTACCCAGAATATATCAAATGAAGCTCTAATGGTTATCCAATCTCCAATTCCAATATAAGAACTTAACTCTACCCTTTGCATTCATGAATCTTTTAAACCCTTTTTCTAATCATTCTTTTCTTTTCTCTTAACTCTAGGAGAAGCTTTCTCAACACTTTGATACATCTAGCGGATTTGGATTTCTTTAACAACTAAGGTTCCTGTATTTAACATTTTAAAACCAAGGGCTTTTGCCCATCTTCAATAGCTAACAAGAACTCTTTCTTTTCTTTACTAGACTTTTCTACTTCTTTAGCTTACTTCACCTAGAGTCTTTTACCTTTTCTTATCAATGAATCAACCCCCTTTTTTTTCTTTTAAACACATCCCAACCGAAAGTATAAGCGCCCACCTAGTCCTATCTAGTCCGAAAAATGCGAACTAGAACTACATGAGACACTATCTCTGTCGTTACGAACCTAACACTTTCTACCAAGCTTAATCGGAATAAGACCTCACAAACACTCACAAGTGATATAGGGCTTGAAAGAAAGTCTAGGTTTTGGTTCGAGTTAACAGCTTTAATAAAGAGAGTCAGCTACTTGGATTAACAAGAGTGATCAAAACGAATAAGAAAATCTAAGTATTTTAGGGTATCCATGAGTTCAAATTTGATGCAGACATGATAATTAAAGATCAGATTCATGTTCAAATTGATAGGGAATGGTATCAGATCATGACAGTGTGGTCGAGTAGAGCAATCTAGGCATGGTTCAGTTTTATTTCAAATTCATTGACTACGCAACACACAACTAGCAACGAGGGCACTGAGTTTATCCGGTGAATCAAAATGCGTACAAGGCTATCTCATCATTATCCCCTAGGCATATGCAACAATCCTAAATGAAACACTCTAGACTCGATCCTAAATGTAATGCAACTACATGAACACTTTTTTTTTTTTTTTGTGAAATCATTTTCTGAAATTTTTCAAAATTTTTTTGGTTTTTCTATGCCTTAGATGAATGCAGACTCAAAAATATACACAATGCAACACACTTCCTGAGCCCTCCCCCAAACTAATCCTGTTTCTTGCACCACTTCTGCAGCTTGCTGTTGTTTCTGTGAGCTTCGCTCAAACTCTTGCTTTCCCGCGATGGAGGTATATGCTCGTGTCAAACTCCGCCTCATCTATATCATCTGTCTCATCAACATCTTCTGTTGTAACTCCTTCGGTGTGACTAACCTCCTCAGTTGGCGGACTGCCCTCAAAATAAAGATCTTCTAGCGCAGGCTTGAAGTCAATGTTCCTTCCCTCAAGAATCCTAGTAGCGTCAATGCAGGGGAGAAGATTGTTGGCGATTCTAGAATGCTCGAACCTGTAGCGGTGGAAGTCGCCAGCCATGTCGAACTCCAAGAACTCACATCGGCGCAAATGATCCAAGTCTATCATCCTCGGTGCTAACCCTGGTTCCTTGAGCAGTACTCCACAAGCTTCCAGAATTGGCGTCACAACGCCACCCACACATAGTGCTCCTCTCACATTCTTCTTCCCGTTCGTCAACGCCCACTTCCTATATCCACACAGGTGGATAAATAGAGGCATTACTGGTGGTGCGTTGTTGAGATCGCTTCTCAAGACATTCTTTCCCTTTGTACGGCAGAGAATCCATGTGAGTGCGGAATCTATCATCTCCATGTCCGTGTTAGACACGGTGCCTGTAGACTCCCTGGAGTAAAAGACGTTGGCAACCGATCGCTCAAAGTAGCGGATCACAGGACTCTGGATTTTGTTGCTCTTGGACCGCGCCGAGTTTAGCGGTAGATTGTTCCCTATAGTGGCCCACAAATTCTTAAGCTCCTCTCTGTCAAATCTGGGTTTGGTTCCCTTTCCACTAGGGAAACCAAACAGTTCTTCCAACTTCTTGATCGAAAGCTGATACCGCTGTTCATCCACTGAGAACGTCAAGAAGCCTAACCCCATGGTATCCAGCTCAAAGTCTGTGAGTCCCTCATACATCTCCACTTGCAGCGTGGAAAGAAACTCGATTGTCTCCTCCAAATAGGCAGCGTAAGGGTAAGACATGAGTGTCTCCAGATGACACTTCTCGAACAGATGTTGCACATCCTCTAGTAACCCCAACTGGGTTAAAGTCTCATAGCACGGATACCTCGTTCCCCAGAAGTCATTCATCTTAAAGAGTCTGATATATTCCTCCATTGTAACCTCGTCGGGTTTGTTCAGCAGCTTCGTCTCCTTGCGCCATGACTCTGGCTGATAGTCAGTTTAGATATCCTCATCAATCAGCTCATATCTACTCGACATCGCCCTCTTTCCTCTGGCGATTTCAGCTCTTCTCTGATTACGTCGAACTGCGGAGCGTGCAAATTCATCCCTGAAGCTCTTGTAAGCATGTTGCCTCTCGGTCTAACGGACCAGGACTCAGCTTCATCCACATTATAATCAGGGTCCATAGAGGATTCTCCACTGTAGTTACTCATGATGAAACCTGAAAACAGAAGAAACTCAAAGATAAACGTTAATACGTTAGTAACAGCAAAACCAAAAACACAAACTAATCAAGTAAAAAGGTCGAGTTTAACCAAACCGGTCGAGTGTTTGGACCAAATCCCTTTTTTTATATATTTCTTCGCCAGTTTGATGTGTCCGCGGTCGAGTGAAGGCTGTGGAGTCGAGTGATGTGGTATTGAATGAGAGGTGGTGATTGAGCTGGAGAGATGAAAGCAGCGGCGGTAAAGTGATGAAGCTTGAATGGAGGAGAAAACGATTTGATTGGTTGATGGTGAAGGGGGTCAAGTGGTTTTGAGCGAGAACTGTTGAAGGCGAATTGATGGTAGGGATCGAGTGTTTGGTGAGCTTGAGAGGCGGAGGGGTTCTTGCGGCGAAGTCGAGTGAAACGACTACGAATGAAGAGGTGAGAGACGATTCTTCGAGTGAGTGAATGGTGAGAAGTGGCGTGGTATGAAGCGGTCGAGTGAAATTTGAGAGGATGATAGTTGTAATGAGAGCTCGAGTGATTTTGGTGGTGGAGATGCGATGAGAGCTGTGGCTGTGAAAGGCGAGAGAGGAGCGGTCGAGTGCGTGAGGAAGAGAGATGGTGAGGTCGAGTTTATGAAAGGATAAGGCGATGGGATCGAGTGTAGAGATAAGGAGAGGTTGAGTGGTGCTTTGGATGGATGATGATGGCGTTGAAGATGAGTGATGGAGAGAAGGGAGGGTTGATTTAAGAAGGATGCGGTCGAGTTTATTTGGTTGTGGAGGAGAAAACGAGGTCGAGTGATGGGGGAGAAGTCGAGTGAAGATGGGGTTGCGTGGAGATCGAGTTGGTGTGAAGAGATTCCATGTCTCTTGGTCTGCTGCATGGAGGACATGGGCGTCAGTGGTGGGTTCCACTGTGTCTTCTTGTCTTTCTTTTATGCTCTCTGCTTACTGTAAAAGCCCCAGGAAATCCCGCAATCTTCTGTAAACTTGATAAAGTCTCTGTAAGACTCTGCAGCTTCTGTTGGTCGTGTAAAATGATGATTTAAAATTTTTTCATGTTTTAAAAACATCACTCAAACTCGACCAATGTACTCGATCTCTAGGCCATCAATAGAGTAAAAGCTTTGAATTTTTAGTCTACCTTCATGTTACTCTCTTTTTTTTTTTCTGAGAACCACAAACACAACTAAAACAAATCAAAAATAACAAGAAAGTAAAAATTATTTACAAGGATAATCATGGGACTTCCTCCCAAGTGAGCTTTTATTCTACTCCTCCCAAACTGCAACTTGATATGCTTTCCAAGGTTGAGACTTATTTTCCCTTCCCTGACATCTATCACTGCTCCCACTGAAGCTAAGAAGGGTCTTCCCAGGATTAAGGGATCCTTATGCTCTACTTTCATATCCAGCACCACGAAGTCTGTAGGCACTTCTACTCCATTAATCATGATTGGTAGATCTTTCAGCATGCCGAAGGGTTTTCTTGAAGACCTATCCACAAGGATCTAAGTCAGGTCACAAGTTTTATACTGAATGAACTCTAACCTTCTTGCCATAGAGAGTGGCATTCAGCTGACAGAGGCTCTGAGATCGCACAGACAATTGCTGAAAGCGAATTCCCCAATGGAACATGGTAGAGTGAAAGATCCATGATCTTCTAACTTCTCTTGAACAATCCTCTTATCAGCAGCTCGAGATGGAGTGGCATCACTTTCATCATCTGAATCGTGATACATCTTGATCCTTTCTAGTATCAAATTTCTCACATCTTTGTGAAGATCGAGAATCAGGTTGAGAACTTCCATCAGTGGCATCACTACTTCAATCTCGTCTAGCTGCTTCGCTGCAACAGACTTGTATCTCTCCATCCACGCTTTCCTAAATGTCCACGGAAGAGCACATGAGGGGAATGGAGTAGGTTTGAATCGTTTCACCATTTTCTCGATTATGGCGGCCTTCTCTTCCGAGGTGGATTGAATGTGATGGTGAGAACCAGCAGAATGGTTAAATTCAACAACAGAGACTTCAATCCGAGTAGAAGCCTCCCATTCTTGAACATCACTGTCCCTAGTGATTAAATCAAGGACAGGTCGAGTTGGCTTCTCTCGATCATGGAGAGAGTGATGGCGTGAGCAGTTGCATACTCTTTTGGATTTTGTATGGACTTCCCTAGAAGTCCTGTGACTTTAGGTGCAGAGGTAGATGCTGATTGTCCTTCCAAATATCTGACTTTGGTATTCAATGCCACCACTTTGGCATTCACGTCATTGTAGCTGCAATCCAGCTTATGGTGCAATTCAGATAATTTCTTATCAATTTCCATTGAGCTAGATGCTTGTCCCTGTAGCAGCTGTTGTACCATCTGTTTCATTTTAGCATCAGGAGCAGCTGGACCTTGGTTTTGCTGAGGTGCAAACCCAGGTGGTGGTGGCGGCTGGTAGTTCCCCTGGAATTGCTGCTTGGGAACGAAACCTTGGTTGTAGGGAACAAAAGGTTTGTTCTGACCTTGTTCTTGCTGTGGAGGATACACTTGATCCTGAGGATTAGCAATGTTGGTGCTGCGGTAGAAGAGGTTGGGATTGTTGGTTTTGGAAGTTGTTGTATCCTTTGTAGCCACCCTGGTTGTTGTTGATGTTGCTGACTTCTTCCAACTGGTTACCCTCCCCATCTTGGACTTGAAACTGCTCGTCATCAACAAGGAAGTGCACAAGCTTCTGCTGGCTAAGAAGAATCTTGTCCAGCTTGTCATTCAGCGCTTTGATCTCCTTCCTGTGTTTGTCATCAGAGTCAACTGTGCCTCTGACGGTCCTATCGCAGTTCTCGTTGTAATTGCCATCTGATTGAGCAAGGTTCTCAACCAATTCCCAGTCTTCTTCAACATCTTTGTTCTGGATGTTTCCATTGCTGGCGGTACCCAGAAGCATTCTGATGCGTGGTAGGATTCCTCTGTAAAGAGTGCTGAGTAGAGAGGCTTTAGTAAAGCCATGATGAGGGCATTGGTTGGTGTAACCCTTGAAACGCTCTCATGCTTCACAGAAGCTTTCACCAGCCTTCTGTAAAAAGCCAGAGATCTCATTTCTAAGTCTTGCAGTTCTGGCATTGGAGAAGACTTTGATAGAAAAGCCTTCTTGCAATCATCCCAGGTGGTGATTGAGTCATGGGGCAGATTCTTCTCCCAGATGTTTGCTTTGTCGCCCAAGGAGAGTGGAAACAAACGAAGCTTGAATCCGTCTTCACTGACACCATTGATCTTTGTTAGGTTGTAGAGCCTATCGAATTCATCAAGGTGGTCGAGTGGATCCTCCATTGGCAGACCATGGAATTTGTTCCCCTGAATCATCGAGATGAGACTACTCTTAATCTCGAAGTTGTTGTTCTGGATAGTAGGAGGTGCAATTCCTTTCCTCTAACGGTGATCACGTGGTGCATCTCCACCACCAATGTTGGAAGGGCCATTTTGTTGATTCTGTTCGTCAGTCATATCGAGTGGTTGCTGAGGTACAAGGTTGACTGTGTTTCTCCTTTCTCTGAGTTCGCGAGCTATGCGGTCAATGTTGTCGTTGAAAAGGAGGTTCTGATTGCCTGTTGATCGAGTTCGCATACAGCAGAGGTGTACCTGGATCAAGAAGACAACAAGAAAAACACACAATTAGCAACCAGATTGAAAATTGAAAAAGAACTTGATCTAAGCAAGTCTGCAATCTCAAATG